TGCATCAGTGCTTTATTTTGGAAACCAAATAATCAGCATGATAGCTAAACAATTAATTTGTTTAGATCAGCAAAGGCTGCTTCCTAGTTTTGACCGGTTTTCTTTGGACCCATTCAGACGAGTCCACCGCTTGCAATGCATTCTTACACTCTCTCTCAGTAAAGTATGGCATTTTGTGTTTTAACTGCAGTAATGCACTTTCACTTTAACTACTTTACAACCACGCTATAGCCGAATGATGGCTACAGCGCGGTTGTCCAGTTCTGTGAGGGTGTCATATGATGTCCTCCCAGAATGCACCCCCAGCGGCACGCACCCGGCGCTGTCTAGGAACGATGTGTCCTGAGGATACAGTGTCCAATGACACAGCTGATTGCAAAGTAAATACAGTTGCCGGTTATCGGCAGCACTTTGCTCACTCTGTCACAGGGCACTGATTATGAGTGCCCAGCAGTGCTGCCCAGCAGTGCCACCCATCAGTACCACCAGTCAGTGCTGCATATCAGTGCAGCTTCATCGGTGCCTCCTTATCAATTCCGACCAGTGTCGCCTCATCCGTGCAGCCTATCGGTGCCCATCAATGCTGTCAGTCAGTGCCGCCTCATCAGTGCAGCCTATCGGTGCCAATCAATGCTGCCTATCAGTCCAGCCTCATCAACCCTCATCAGTGAAGGAGAAAATGTGCCTGTTTGTTAAATTTTATAATAGAAACAAAGAAAAAATGTTTTGTTTTTTTTTTTGTTTATAGTGAAAGAAATTTAAAAAACCCAGTGGCGATTAAATACCACCAAAAGAAAGCTCTATTTGTGTAAAAAAAAAGATACACATTTCATATGCGTACAGTGTTGCATGACCGCGCAATTGTCATTTAAGTGCAACAGTGCTGAAAGCTGAAAATTGGCCTGGGCATGAAGGCAGTAAATGTGCCTGGTAGGCAAGTGGTTAAATAAGATGCTAACACATTGCAAAGGTTTTAATGGACCGGCATAATTTTTTTTCTATTCAATCTAAGACAACACACGGATGATTCACATCTGTGCACGGTATTGCGCTGAAACACATGTGCGCTGTGGTCTGCTGACAAGGTGTGATGGCAAGGGTGCCATTCAAAAGGAATGGTACTGCAAAGCACTGCAGCCAATTGCATACATTGCCTCACATTTCTCATACTTCGGTATTGTGCAGTAAAGTGCACAATAAAATCTTAAAAGTGAACCTTCCAATAAAATCGAAAGTCTGCTTGACTGATGGCCCCTCCCCCCTAAAAAAACAAAACCTAAATAGGTTTAATACGCATGTCAAAATGAAGTTTTTACAACAAAAATTGCAGGAGTGCATTTTTTGTGGTTTCAAGCACCCAGCTTTCCCAGGAGGCAGCAATGAGGCACACTGATGCTGCCACACCTCTCGGATTCATCTGAGGCCAGGCCAGGTTACATTTTTTTTTTTTCTTATGTATAACTAAAGGCAAAACATTTTTTGGAGGGATTAGAACACCTGTCAAATTTCATTGCTGTCTGTGCCCTCCAATGGGGACACTAGTTCTGGTGATCTGGGATACCCCAGGGAATTTCCTCTCACTTTCTGTTTTGGCTATGGGACAGGATGTGAAGGGAAATCTCCCCAATGGGATACAAACGGCAAAAAAAATATCTGGCAGGATATAACCCTCCTATACTCTATCCAGAAGGAAAAAAAGTTTTGCGTTTAGATCTACTTTAATTGTTTTTAAAAGATTTAAAAGTAGTAGTAAACATGTAAAAAAAAAGTTTCCTGCTGGAAGGTAATATCATAATGTGCTACTATTCATTGCACAGTAGCACATTATGAAAGACTTGCCATAGAAAGAAGCCCTCTGCAGAAGTCTTCCAGCCCGGGTTCTTGGGCTGTGGCTGCTTGAATGGCCGAGCCCCCGATGATGTCCTCCGTTTTGGCCACGGCATGCAGCTTTGAAGGAATGGCACGGGTATGCCATTCCTTCATAGCGCAGGTGCCAGTATTGTCACTGGCTGCTGCTCCGTAGAATATCTCCTAAATGGTACACGTTTAGGAGATATTGAGTTTACCTACAGGCAAGATTTATTATAAGTTTACCTGTAGGTAAAAATATACAAAGTGACTTTACTACCACTTTCATTTTGAAAGGCATGATAAAAAAATGGAGTCTGAATTTGCAGCATAAAAACAACCCAGCCTTACCGGTTTTATAGATTATACATCACACCACAGATTATTCCCTGATGGATAATCTGGCCATCTTCCTCCACTCCTATATCAAGTAAATGCTACAAGAAATCTATGCTCCTACAGCTGCTGAACGCGGCCAAGTCCTGTATTCCTAGCGCATGGAAATGTAGCTAACTCCCAACTGTCAGACACTGGTTTGCCAGGGGAAATCGAAGACCTCACAAGACCTCTGAAGTGAATGAGAAATGGTTCTACTGTAACGACTTGAAATATTCCTTCAGATACAATCAAGGTCTATAAACAATTGTTTCAATGGATTAGACTTGTGTTCACCTATTTCCCCCCCCCCCCCACTCCTCCTTAATTCTAATAGTTTGGAGTCAACATGCGGGGGACTTAGTGGGATGGTATCTTGACCCTTATCTACACCTGCCTATAGATGGGACTGGGTCATAACTTCCATTCCATCCAGGGGCGTGTTTACCACAAGGCAAACAAGGCACTTGCCTAGGGCTGCATTTTTCAGGGGGCAGCACCTCCCCCCAGAAAAAGGGAGGAAAGAAGAGACACATGCACCATGGAATCCAAGAGAGGCTGCGGGCTGCTTTATGGTGTATGTAGAGCCTGGCTCTCCTTCCCGGGGATGTCCGGAGCTGTGAAGGTGAGTGTCTCTCTATCGCCTGAGGGTGGGGAGTAGCGGAAGGCTCTCCTGGGTCGGAAGCAGGGGTGTTGTTGGTCAATGTCATTCTCTCTCCACTGGAGTGGAAAGGGGGAGTTGTATGGGTCGCTGTCCATGGGGGCAGATGATTTTTGTGTTGCCTATGGCAGCACAAACCCTAAATACACCACTGCTTCCATCTCCCCTACAATATACCTCTGTCTCCCATTGGTCTTTAAACTTATGACCCCCCCCCCCCTTTTTTTTTTTTTTTTTTTTCAACTTTCCCGTCTTCCATTTTCCACACCGACGAGCTGATCTCCCCTGCGCTGTCATTACAGACCCATCTTTCTCCTTTACCCTATCACTTATTCCCCCTGTTTCTTTGGGGAACCCTCTCTCCAGTTAAGTTTTTTCCTTTGCTTGGGTGGCATTGCAACATCTAGAATACGTTATTTACCTGAGGGTGCAATCGCTTTGTAACAACTATGACTACTTATAGTGTTTTTTTTTTCATTTAATCAATCAATTTCATAACTTGTAATACCTATGCGATTTCTAACATGTTCTTCATGCTGATTATGGTTTGTACAACATGTGATGTAACCCATTCTTGAATAAATTGCATTTTTATCATATAATGTCTGTTTTTTTTATTATTCTAGGAATTGAAGTCATTTCTTATGTTCGTGAATTCCCGGCCCCCGTATGACATTGTGGTGGATGGGCTGAATGTGGCATACAATGCCAAAAAAGAAGTTTACTCCAAGGCTGTGAGTAATAACTATCTATAATCATGGTGATCGGCAAGATATTTGTTTGTGTAGACATACACATTATAGAATATTGGTCATTATGCACATCAGTAGAAAAGTCCACTTTAAGGGCCCCCAGCATACCTGTGCGGTCAGATGTGGTGCATGAAGGTACATCATGCCGTGCAATAGTGTACAATGTGTTGAGGCAGCCCATTCATTTGAAAGTGCTGCCAACGCTCCAAGACAATCCAGAAATAGTTCCTGAACCAATTTTTCAAACCGCAGGGTAGCGTGTTACCTTTTTGTGATGCAGTGAAACACAGATGCTGGTATAAAGTGTTGTGTTGCCATACCGCATTGCAGTTTGTGCTTTAGGTGTGTTAAAACATGCACATTACCACAATGCATATATGTGAAATTGTAACAAAATTCAAATTTGTATTTTTTTTTTTTACGTTTTGGCCATATTGGAGAAGGATTAGAACATGTGCAGGTTTTTATTGATGTCTGTGGTCCATGAGGGTGATTCACCCTCTCTTCTTGTTCTGATGACTATTATCACCAAGAGTGAAAGCGAAATAAAATCTTACATTTTGAGTTGTTTTCAGGACAGGAATAGAGGGAAAATCTTCCAATGCGGACACTAGTTCTGGTGAAAACCTAAGATTTCCATCACTTTGAAGTGATTTCCTATTACTTCCTCTTGTGGCTATGAGACAGGGAGTAAAGAGAAATTTCCTCAATGGGATATGGATGGCAAAAAAAAAAAATAACGGGTTATACCCTCTTACTCTACCCAAAATGAAAAAAAGTTTAGGCTTTGATTTTACTTCCAGGTATCTGTCATGAGTGAAATATACAGGCTGGCGTTGCTATTCTCCCACTGAAAATGCCGTCCGCCTGGCTGTGTGTATGACATCACTTCACCAGCTATCAGAGAAAGATTAAATGAAGCTAACTCATATACAGTACTCCCTGTAGTGGTACACCTGCAAATTTCTATATTTAATATAATAAAAAAAATATGGGAAATTTAAAATGTAACATGCGTGCTCCCCCTCCACTGCACCGGGTCTAAAATTGCAGTGAGTGCGGTGAATAAGGGGGAGCATGCATGAACACAAATTCATGTCACTAATATATATGGACAATATCAGTTCACTCCACACAGAGTGCACTGAATGGTGAACGGAACTGAATACCATCTGTCTAAGCGTATACTGTGATGATTAGATACCAGATTGGATCACATTCATTCACAAGACTCAAAGACTTTTCTGTGGATTTAACACGTTTATTTACTCACTATGACATGTACCCTATGGTGATTTATTTATGTGGTATATACCGCATTTTTCGCTCCATAAGACGTACCTAGATTTTAGAGGAGGAAAGCAAGAAATACAAAATTCTGAACCAATGGACTGCAGACATAGTACAGGAGATGACCAGAGACTGTGGACATAGTACAGGAGGTGACCAGAGACTGTGGACGCAGTACAGGAGGTGACCAGAGACTGCGGACGCAGTACAGGGGATGACCAGAGACCGCGGACGCAGTACAGGAGATGACCAGAGACTGCGGACACAGTACAGGAGATGACCAGAGACTGCGGACACAGTACAGGAGATGACCAGAGACTGCGGACGCAGTACAGGAGATGACCAGAGACTGCGGACACAGTACAGGAGATGACCAGAGACTGCGGACACAGTACAGGAGATGGACCAGAGACTACGGACACAGTACAGGAGATGGACCAGAGACCACGGACACAGTACAGGAGATGACCAGAGACCGCGGACACAGTACAGGAGATGACCAGAGACCGCGGACACAGTACAGGAGATGACCAGAGACCGCGGACACAGTACAGGAGATGACCAGAGACCGCGGACACAGTACAGGAGATGACCAGAGACTGCGGACACAGTACAGGAGATGACCAGAGACTGCGGACACAGTACAGGAGATGACCAGAGACTGCAGACACAGTACAGGAGATGACCAGAGACTGCGGACACAGTACAGGAGATGACCAGAGACTGCGGACGCAGTACAGGAGATGACCAGAGACTGCGGACACAGTACAGGAGATGACCAGAGACTGCGGACACAGTACAGGAGATGGACCAGAGACTACGGACACAGTACAGGAGATGGACCAGAGACTACGGACACAGTACAGGAGATGACCAGAGACCGCGGACACAGTACAGGAGATGACCAGAGACTGCGGACGCAGTACAGGAGATGGACCAGAGACTACGGACACAGTACAGGAGATGACCAGAGACTGCGGACACAGTACAGGAGATGACCAGAGACTGCAGACACAGTACAGGAGATGACCAGAGACTGCGGACACAGTACAGGAGATGACCAGAGACTGCGGACGCAGTACAGGAGATGGACCAGAGACTACGGACACAGTACAGGAGATGACCAGAGACTGCGGACACAGTACAGGAGATGACCAGAGACTGCAGACACAGTACAGGAGATGACCAGAGACTGCGGACACAGTACAGGAGATGATCAGAGACTGCGGACACAGTACAGGAGATGACCAGAGACTGCGGACGCAGTACAGGAGATGGACCAGAGACTACGGACACAGTACAGGAGATGGACCAGAGACTACGGACACAGTACAGGAGATGACCAGAGACCGCGGACACAGTACAGGAGATGACCAGAGACCGCGGACACAGTACAGGAGATGACCAGAGACCGCGGACACAGTACAGGAGATGACCAGAGACTGCGGACACAGTACAGGAGATGACCAGAGACTGCGGACACAGTACAGGAGATGACCAGAGACTGCAGACACAGTACAGGAGATGACCAGAGACTGCAGACACAGTACAGGAGATGACCAGAGACTGCGGACACAGTACAGGAGATGATCAGAGACTGCGGACACAGTACAGGAGATGACCAGAGACTGCGGACACAGCACAGGAGATGATCAGAGACTGCGGACACAGCACAGGAGATGACCAGAGACTGCGGACACAGTACAGGAGATGATCAGAGACTGCGGACACAGCACAGGAGATGACCAGAGACTGCGGACACAGCACAGGAGATGACCAGAGACTGCGGACACAGCACAGGAGATGACCAGAGACTGCGGGCACAGCACAGGAGATGACCAGAGACTGCGGACACAGCACAGGAGATGACCAGAGACTGCGGACACAGCACAGGAGATGACCAGAGACTGCGGACACAGCACAGGAGATGACCAGAGACTGCGGACACAGCACAGGAGATGACCAGAGACTGCGGACACAGCACAGGAGATGACCAGAGACTGCGGACACAGCACAGGAGATGACCAGAGACTGCGGACACAGTACAGGAGATGACCAGAGACTGCGGACACAGTACAGGAGATGACCAGAGACTGCGGACACAGTACAGGAGATGACCAGAGACTGCGGACACAGTACAGGAGATGACCAGAGACTGCTGCGGACACAGTACAGGAGATGACCAGAGACTGCGGACACAGTACAGGAGATGACCAGAGACTGCGGACACAGTACAGGAGATGACCAGAGACTGCGGACACAGTACAGGAGATGACCAGAGACTGCGGACACAGTACAGGAGATGACCAGAGACTGCGGACACAGTACAGGAGATGACCAGAGACTGCGGACACACAGTACAGGAGATGACCAGAGACTGCAAACCTTTGGGGGGGGGGAGGGGGGCGGGCGGGTACCCGAATTTGACAGGTACCCGCTTCCACTTCCGCAGAGTTGTCCTCCCCCCTCCCTCCCTGTAGTCTTGTGGGATACATGACAGGTCCCACAAGACTACGGGGCCATTCGCAAAGCTCAGTGCTTCTCACGCATGCGTAATGGGCACCCGGCTGTGAAGCCGCAAGCTGTCACAGCCGGTTGCCCACACTGAAGAAGCCGGCGTGAGGGAGAGAAGACGGCTGGTGAAAGCAGGACACCGCTGGACCGAGGAGCAGGTTCTTCTACACAGTAGAGCCGAGCCGCCGGCCCAGTATTCTAACACGGCAGCAGCGACGGGGGGGGAATACCAGGTCGGCCGCTCCATATTCGCTCCATAAGACGCACAGACATTTTCCCCCATTTTTTGGGGGGGAAAAAGTGCGTCTTATGGAGCAAAAAATACGGTACTTTTTAAGGAATTGTATGTTTAGGGGGAGGTGCACTATCATTCATACCATTGCCATAAGTCACATGTACAGTGAAGGAAATAAGTAATTGATCCCCTGCTGATTTTGAATGTTTGCCCGTTCACAAAGATATGATCAATCTAAAAATCGAATGGTAGGTGTATTGTAACACTGAGAGACAGAATAGCAACAAAAAATTTAAAAGAAATTCATGTCTAACAAATGATGCACTGATTTGCATGTTCATGAGGGAAATAAGTATTTGATCCCCTTCACAAAACATGACTTCGTACTTGGTGGCAAATCCCTTGTTGGCAATCACAAAGGTCAGATGTTTCCTGTAGTTGGCCACCAGGTTTGCACACATCTCAGGAGGGGTTTTGTCCCACTCCTCTTGGCAGATCCTCTCCAAGTCACTAAGGTTTGGTGGCTGACATTTGGCAACTCGAACGTTCAGCTCCCTCCACAGATTTTCAATCGGATTAAGGACTGGAGACTGGCTAGGCCATTACTTTGTTGCTCCATTACTTTGTTGCCTTGGCCATGTGTTTTGGGTCATTGTCATGCTGGAACACCCATCCATGACCCATTTCCATGACCCATGCCCTGGCTGAGGGAAGAAGGTTCTCACCCAAGATTTGACAGTACATTGCCCCGTCCATCGTCCCTTTGATGTGGTGCAGTTGCCCTGTCCCCTTAGCAGAAAAAAACACCCCCAAAGCAGAATATTTCCACCACCATGTTTGACAGTTGGGATGGTGTTCTTGGGGTCATAGGCAGCATTCCTCCTCCTCCAAACAGGGCGAGTTGATGCCAAAGAGCTCGATTCTGGTCTCATCTGATCACAACACTTTCAACCAGTCGTCCTCTGCATCATTCAGATGTTCAGTGGCAAACTTCAGACTGGCCTGGACATATGCTTTCTTGAGCAGAAGGACCTTGTGGGCAATGCAGAATTTCAATCCTTGTCGGCGTAGTGTGTTACTAATTGTTTTCTTGGTGACTGTGGTCCCAGCTGCCAGGAGATCATTGACAAGATCCTCACATGTAGTTCTGGAATGATTCCTCACTGTTCTCATGATCATTGACACTCCACAAGGTGAGATCTTACATGGTGCACCAGACCTAGGGAGACTGACAGTCGTTTTGTGTTTCTGCCATTTGCGAATGATTGAACCAACTGTTGTCACCTTCTCACCAAGCTGCTTGGCGATAGTTTGGTAGCCCAGTCCAGCCTTGTGTAGGTCTACAATCTTGTCCCTGACATCCTTGGACAGCTCTTTTGGACTTTGCCATGGTGGAGAGTTTGGAATCTGATTTTTGATTGCTCCTGTGGACAGGTGTCTTTTATACAGGTAACAAAATAAGATTAGCAGCACTCCCTTTAAGAGACTGCTTCTATTCTCAGCTTGTTACCTGTATGAAAGACACCTGGTAGCCCGAAATCCTGCTGAATGATAGGGGATCAAATACTTACAGTGGGGATCGAAAGTTTGGGCACCCCAGCTAAAAACTTGTATTAATGTGCATAAAGAAGCCAAGGAAAGATGGAAAAATCTCCAAAAGGCATCAAATTACAGATTAGACATTCGTATAATATGTCAACAAAAGTTAGATTTTATTTCTATCATTTATACTTTCAAAAAAACAGAAAACAAAAAAATGGCGTCTGCAAAAGTTTGGGCACCCTGCAGAGTTAATATCTTGTACTGCCCCCTTTGGCAAGTATCACAGCTTGTAAACGCTTTTTGTAGCCAGCCAAGAGTCTTTCAATTCTTGTTTGAGGTATCTTTGCCCATTCTTCCTTACAAAAGTCTTCCAGTTCTTTGAGATTTCTGGGCTGTCTGTCACGCACTGCTCTTTTAAGGTCTATCCATAGATTTTCAATTATGTTGAGGTCAGGAGATTGTGAAGGCCATGGCAAAACCTTCAGTTTACGCCTCTTGATGTAATCCCCCGTGGATTTCGAGGTGTGTTTAGGATAATTATCCATTTGTAGAAGCCATCCTCTCTTTAACTTCAACTTTTCACAGATGGCATCAAGTTACCATCCAAAATTTGCTGAAATTTTATTGAATCCATTTTTCCTTCTACTCGTGAGATGTTCCCTGTGCCACTGGCTGCAACACAACCCCAAAGCATGATTGATCCAACCCCATGCTTAACAGTTGGACAGAGGTTCTTTTCATTAAATTCTGTGCCCCTTCTTCTCCAAACGTACCTTTGCTCATTCCGGCCAAAAAATTCAATTTTAACCTCATCGGTCCACAGAACTTGTTTCCAAAATGCATCAGGCTTGTCTATATGTTCATTTGCAAAGTTCAAACAATGATATTTGTGGTGAGGACGTAGAAGAGGTTTTCTTCTGATGATTCTTCCATGAAGACCATATTTGTACAAGTATCTCTTTTTATAGTGGAATAGTGTACCACAACTCCAGTGTCTGCCAGATCTTTCTGGAGGGATTGTGCAGTCAAACGTGGGTTTTGAATTGTTTTTCTCACAATCCTGCGAGCTGTTCTGTCTGATATTTTTCTTGGTCTTCCAGATCTTGCTTTAACTTCCACTGTTCCTGATGACTGCCATTTCTTAATTACATTCCGAACAGAGGATATTGACATCTGAAAACGCTTTGCTATCTTCTTATAGCCTTCTCCAGCTTTGTGAGCATCAACCATTTTCAGTTTTCTAGACAACTGCTTAGAAGAACCCATGGTGCTGATTGTTGGAGCAAGGTCAGATGAGTCTGGGCATTTAAAACCTTTGAGATTGACATCACCTGGTCTTCCCAGACGATGATTGAGAACAATTCATGACACTGGCAGGTCTCAGCTTGGCAAAGGGGGCAGTGCATGCTATAAATTCTGCAGGGTGCCCAAACTTTTGCAGATGCCATTTTTTGGTTTTCTGTTATTTTGAAAGTGTAAATGATGGAAATAAAATCTAACTTTTGTTGACATATTATAAGAATGCCTAATCTGTAATTTGATGCCTTTTGGAGATTTTTCCATCTTTCCTTGGCTTCTTTATGCACATTAATACCAATTTTTAGCTGGGGTGCCCAAACTTTCGATCCCCACTGTATTTCCCTCATGAACATGCAAATCAGTGCATAATTTGTTAGACATGCACTTCTTTTGAATTTTTTGTTGCTATTCTGTCTCTCATTGTTACAATACACCTACCATTCGATGTTTAGACTGATCATTTCTTTGTGAGTGGGCAAACATTCAAAATCAGCAGGGGATCAAATACTTATCTCCTTCACTGTACTTTATCATATGTTTTAGGTTTTAGTGGAACACTTACCATATAGATTTTTGTTTTCACACTGCAGTCTATGTACTAGGGTTGTTTGGTTTTAGAGGGAGGTGCACTATAGTCCTAGTGCGCACATTTGTTTTCTTGTTATTGGAATAGGTGTAACGCCACACCAATTTTTGTGTTTGTTTGCACACACTCCTATTGGGTCTGTGGTAGGTGTTGGCTGCAGCCTATCCTTTTGATTCTGTTGCGTGGAATCTCTCTCACCCTTTTGTTTTTAATCCAAGGAGAATGTTTACAAAAAATACACTGTAGGCGATGTACATTCCGGCTAATGCTGTAAAAATTTCCTGTGTGGTTTGACTAACCTGCAACCATCGACTATGTGTCAGCTGTATATGTACTGAACGTTGGGAAAGGTAAATGTGGTTTTTATATGTTTTTCACAAAGAAACCACATTTAAGATGCCTCTTGTCTATGCAAATTGTGCCAGTGTGTATGCAGAGTGAACCATGGTATATGGATGTGTGCACCTATGACATACATCAAGCAAAATATTACCCACAAGTAATGTTTTATGTTCCTCATTGCTCTAATGTGCTGATGCCGTGGCTTTTTATTTGACAAAGTCGGCACTTGCGAATAAGTCTGTGATGCATTCAGCTGTACATCCCCTATCGGATCAGAATTCTATTTATTGAGAACTTGCAGTCTGACAATTCCTGCTGCCATTCTTCATGCTACATCCACATCATATCCTGCACACCAGGTAATATTTTTTGAGCCATCTCACAGTGGAAGGTCTTGCTCTACCTGTATAATTAGAAGATATTCGTTGCCCATTTCCGGCTGATTGTAAACCCTCACCTTGTAAAACAACCTATTCAGTTCAAAAGAGCAATAAAAGTCAAAATATTTATGTATAGATTAAAAAAAAAACATTATATGCACCATTTTTTCCTCTTTTTATAAGTGTTCACATACCCTCTGTTCTCAGCTGCATAAGAACTAGGGGAGAAGAAATAGCAGCACACTGATCATCCCAGTGAATTGCTATGCAAGTGGGCGTGTCAGCACAAGCCTGATCATTGGAGGAGAGCAAACTAAGGTCTCAGCACAGCTAGAGAACTGACCAAGGTGTGCTCTCATGCTTAGTGTGGTCAGTTTTTATCAGGAAAGTAGAGGAGCTGACAGGAACATCAGGAATTTCTCACAAAAAAAGCAATACAGTGAAAACGGGATACTTTTTCATACTAGTACATGGTACAGCAGGCACATATTAGGAATATGAAATGTTGGGCTTGCATATTCTTTAAGGCCTAGTTAACACCACTGAGTTTTTTTAGTGCTTTTTGCTTTGTGCAGAAATCCACTACAGTCCATTTAACATGGTTTCCAATGGGACATGATCACATCTGTGCTTTTTGTGAGCTGCTAGATTTTTGGAAAAGATCAGGCACTTTTTTAAATGCAAAAAGCAGTATTTTTGCTACAATAGAGTTCAATGGAGAAGCTGCTGAAATGCATGTAGTGCTTTTTGGGTTGTTTTTTTTTTTTTTCTGCCCACTAAGAAAAAAATGTCCCCTTAAAAAAAAAAAAAAAAAAAAAAAGGTGAAG